GACGAGTCCCCCGAGGAGAGAGCGCCCCCCACTTTTTCTAGCCCCTGGCTGGGGCAACTACGGGCGACCACGGGCTCCAGCATCCCACTCTTGGGCATGCACGTCCCGCAAGCCCTTCGGGAGAAGGTCTGGGCAAACAAGTATGTGGACCTCGGGCACTTGCTTGCCTATGAGCGGGAATCAGGTTCTTTCGAGTCCCACTCTGCGACATCCCCTGACGCAAAGCAGCCTGGTAAGAAGCAGCCGCCCCTGACGCCGGACCAGTGGGCGCATGGCCTTGACATCTACGCCACTATCTACGTCGAGAAGCACCCAGCGGAGGCTCAGGCGCTGTTTACCTATGCGCGTTACGTGAAGACCATGAAGACGACCCTCAAAGGCGACTGGATGTGGTACGATAAGGCCTTCAGATGGGACAGGGAGAGGTCGGGCTGTTCATGGTTGGACTACAGGCTGGACTTGGAATTTCGCTCGGTGCAATGCATCGCCCAGGCCGCTGCTCAGCCGATGAGGCAGGAGGCAGGGCGACCGGCAGCACTTTCTCTCTCCAGCGCCCGGGCAGCTGGGCTACCCCCGGGCTACTGCTTCGCCTACCACTCGAGGGGACCCGGCTGCACTTTCACCTCATGCTCATTCAAGCACTACTGCCCACGCTGCCGAAGGAGGAACCCTGCCTACAACCCATGCCCTCCAGCTCGGCCTCGCGTCGAACCCACACAGGAACAGCGCCCATGTCGCCACCCGCAAGTTACGGCTTCAAGGAGCTAGGCTGGGCTCCAACTATAATAATAATTTTTATTTAGGTAAAGGTACATACATAAAGAGATTTTACAAAGTTTGTTGGCTTTATAGAATAGAGCTTTATATAACTGGTTGCGCCTCTCTCTTTCTGGTCTAGGCGGGGCCCTCAGCCGCCTGTAGAAGGGCTTGCAGAACAGTACTATCGCGGTAGGCAGGTGGGAGAGTGACGTTTCCTTCCCAGTTCGGTAGTGTAGTTACTCTGCCACCCTGAGGTTTCCCTCGCGGCCAGCGGGCACTCGCCCTTCGGGGGGGGGGGGGTCCGGCCTGCTGGCCTGCGGGGTGGGGGTGCAGCGCCCATCCCCAAGTGTTCCGCTGTCCGCAGCTACTACTTTGACTTTACAGCCATTCTACTAGTAAGCCCTACCTTGTCAGGTAATTCCTTCTTCCTTGGCGGCTCGGCCTCTGGCCTGGGGTTATTTTCTTCTCCAAATACATATCAGGCTTTCCCAGTCACTATGTATTTTCTGCCGCCTGATTATTCTCCAGCTAGGGTTTCCCTTATGTTATGTTGTTCACTTTGGTGTCCTGTTATACTTAGAATTAGATTTGTTACATTCGCCTCACCGCTAATTCTAGACATTAGGACATTAGGTTTCTGCAGAGTTTGTTACTAGGCTATAAGATTACGTTATTTTACTACGGGTGTACAATTTAAGATGTTTCGTGTACTTTGAGTTAGCCACGGCTATGTTATACATTTGTTAAGTCCTATTTAGAAGCCTGTTTTACTTCTGCAGAATTATTTATCATGTCAATAAACTTACGCCCCCATGAGTTGGTGTCTTCCTTCCCCTGATCAGAAAATAAGATTAATGTCAGGCACTCAGGGAGTCTGCCTTCTGATCTGGCACAAAGAAGCCCACCGTATTAATACTGTACCGTCCATATAGCTGCGAGGGGTACAGCTAGGGGGAGGGGGCAGTGTGGGGGGATGAGGAGATGGAGGTAGTGGGGAGGGTGCAGGATGGGGAAGGATGGAGGTAGTGGGGAGGGTGCAGGATGGGGAAGGATGGAGGTAGTGGGGAGGGACTGGAGGTGACCAGCGTCTCTGTTAATCGTAGCTGGTTCACTCACGCCATCATCAACTGCTACTCACCCACCCACTCTTACCACTCATCGTGCTACTCATCTGCTCACCCACTGTCTCCAGACCACCTGACATGATTCTAGCATGATTCTAGGGCTGGTGTTTCTAAAATATTTTCTTTCCCTTTCCCATTCCCATCCTGTCCCACTCGCCTGTCATCCATCAAGTTCCCCTCACCATCCATCCATCCAGTCCCCCCACCATCCATCCATTTCCCCCATCATCTATCTATCTATTCCCCTCCACCATCCATCCAGTCTCCTCACCATTCATCCAGTGTCCTCACCATCCAGTCCCCTCAACATTCATCCAGTCCCCTCATCATCCATCCATCCTGTTGTCCTCTTAAATACAATATTCAAGTGTGATCATCACTAGGCAGGTGACACTGGTAAACTGAAGTGTGGTCGCCTGTGCCACCAGGAACCATGCAATCAGTCAAACCTTACTTGTATGAACAAAGTCGTAAGTCGAGGCAAAGGTCGTAAGCAGAGTCGCATTTTCCGACAATATTTATGTCGTAACTCGAAAAATTTAGCAACTCTAAACTCTTATAACTCTTAGTACGGTCAGTTATAAGTTGAGATGACACTGTAATTTGAAAAATTATTTGAATTCCATACTATTTCAGTGTGGTTGAGAAATTATTCAATCTCCCAATTGATTTCACATGAACAATATGGCAGCTTGAAGCCCCTGAACATCTGGTCAGTGTGCCCATATGTTAAGATGGGCCTTAGTATATAAATCATTATTAGTACAGGGTATCCATTTTACATGCTTGGTAACTTGCATTAACGGAAATTCTATAATAATTATATTAAAAATGCTTTTACAATTTGTGACTGAAGAACCCTCAAATCAATTAGGCAAAAATTTTCAAACAAATGAATTAGTAGAGCATTAAACATCTGACTATATCTTACAGACCATTCATGATGATTAAGTAAATTTTTTTTTATGTATAGTATGTATCAATCTTCACAGGACTATTTTATAAATGATAATTGTCATTACAAAAACTGTTTCTAACTGATAATTTTCCAATGGTGTTCTCATATAATTAAACACTTAATATGAATTAAATAATTTTAAAGCCATCTCAACATTTTAAAACCCAGGAAATTATGAGAACAACACATTTTTAAGGCAGATTTTCTAAATAATTATTCAGCTATGATATGCTGCACGTAACTACAGCAAACTTCCAAATAACTAAATGGGTAGCAAATCTTGATTCCAACAGAATTAATATTTTCAACCATCTAAAAACTGAACTCAAAATGAAGAGTTCTTAAGAAAGAAAAGAAAGAAGAAAGAGAAAAATTACAAGAAAAAAATTATTTTTATCATGTGCCCAGAAAAGTAGTACTGTATACATGTGAGAAATTGATGGCAGGTTTTTATATACACTGTATTTAAGAGAAAAATCTTCCCAATGAATTACTATATCAAGAAATGGCAAACATTTATCAATTTAAAATAAATTTTATAGAAGGGATTTTCTCATGAATTTCTGCTAAAAATTCGTCTGAACTTACAACTGATGATATTTTGTGTATTTGACTAAGTGTAAATATAGACTTTAAAAAATATTAGGGACCCATGTAATATCTGCTCAAGGAAATACTATAACTCCTTACGAGGCCAGTAGGCAGGCAGGAAGAGCCAAATAGTCCTGTTGAAAAGCAGATGTGCATGCAACGGGTACACAGAATTTTATGAACATAGGGAACCAAGAATTTTCAACACCCCTTCCTCTGCACATAAGGGACATAACTAGCTGACCTCTCTTGGTGTTGAAAATAGAATTTTGTAAAAACGCCTTGATACCTGCCTGATGAGGTTCTGGGAGTTCTTCTACTCGCCAAACTCGGCCTGAGGCTAGACTTGACTTGTGAGAGCTTGGTCCAACAGACTTTTGCTTGCAGCAGCCCACAGGCCCACATATCCACCACAGCCCAGTTGGTCTGGAACTTCTTGAAGAAAACTAGTTAGTTTCCTCTTGATATCCACTCTTGTTCCGGCCCTAGGCTCTAAGGCCTACTGCAGATATCCTCGAAAGGATATCTGATCAGCTGGGCTGTAATATGTCAGACTAGGAACAGCAGACTCTAGCAGCCTGGTTGACCAGACCACCAACCAGGAGGCTTAGTCAGAGACTGGGCCATGGAGTCACTGATCTCCAGAATCATCTCAAGGTAGGTAGGTATGGTCAGATACTAGAAATGGTCACTATTCAAGTGCTAATTTCAATTGCCCAAGTATATTTACATACTTATAATTGTGGTATTCAGTCTTGAGAAATTCTGTACATTCCTTATAAATTTTGTTAAAATTTTCCTATATTGTGTTTATATCCTTTCCTATCAATAACCTTTCTGAAAATGAAAAAATTTACTTAAGACTAATTTCTTTATTTTTTTTTTTTGTTTCTTCTGTCATAGGAATTGGTGTATTTATTATAAAATAGGACGCAAGTGCTCTTACTGAAAGGAGATATATACTATGGGTCAACGATTTCTTCCCTTTTACCAGGTGAATACGAGATCCAGCACCTTTTACCAGGTGAATATGAGACCCAGCAATGATGGAACATTCCCTTCCTTTACTCATTATATTTTGATGCTGATATTCATTTAAATATTGACCTACCACATGAAGCTTCCAGGGGTAGTTTCCAATTTCTCTTATTTTCCTTGCAATATTTTGCAAGAACTTGTTGCAGAAAAACAACCATCACGAGCACAGCCGTACCCAGCACGAGAACAGCCGTACCCAGCACGAGAACAGCCGTACCCAGCACGAGAACAGCCATACCCAGCACGAGCACAGCAGTACTCAGCACTAGTTTTAAGTGTGTACATAGTGTTAAAATTAAAGTTGCAGTAATTTTAGTGTACAGTAGTTTTCATAAACTGTATTGTAGTACTCAACATACAGCAGAACTACTTAATCAATACAGTGCTAACGGCATAATACAGTACAGTACGTATTTACTGTACAGCATTCACAACTCTGAGACTTCAAGCTGAACATAACTCCAACAATAAGGTAAATAACAAATGTAACAGTATTTTTTAGTAGGGTAATAATATATAGGCACGGTATGTAATATGATAATGCATTTTTATTGTGTTTAAGAAAAAAAAAGACACCGACGCAAATGCCTCCTGAAGGTCCCCTCTTGCAATGCATCCAACGCATTGGGGTTGGTCCCATATAGTACGTTGAATGGAGGTTGTACTGTATGATTTCTTATGTACATTATTAGATACAGTTTTAGATTTGATTTGTCTGGTTTTTTTTTTTTTTGCACACTTAACACTGATCTGGAATTTCTCCTGTATGAATCCTCATGTGCCTTGTTAAATACAATTTACGGGAAAATTTTTTGGGACACTCTGAACAGTGATATGGTCTCTCTCCTGTATGAGCCATCATGTGCTTTGTTAGAATTGATTTATATGCAAAATCTTTAAGACACACTGAACATTGATATGGTTTCAGTCCTGTATGAATCCGCATATGCTTCATTGCATTTGAATTACATGTGAAAGTTTTTAGACACTCTGAACATTGATAGGGTTTCTCTCCTGTGTGAGTCCTTGTGTGCTTTGCTAAAACTGATCGATGTGAAAAACCTTTTAGACACACTGAACATTCATATGGTTTATCTTCTGTATGAACCCTCATGTGCTCTACTATTTGTGATTTTTCTGCAAAGTCTTTTAGACACTCTAAACAGTGAAATGGCTTTTCTCCTGTATGAACTTTCATGTGTCTCGTTAGAAATGATTTACGTGCAAAATCTCTCTGACATACAGAACACTGATAGGGTTTCTCTCCTGTATGAATCCTCATATGCTTTGTTCGATCTGATTTACTAGAAAAATGTTTTTGACACTCTGAACATTGATATGGTTTCTCCCCTGTATGAGTCCTCATGTGCTCCATTAAATGTGATTTTTGTGCAAAGTCTTTTTGACACACCGAACACTGATAAGGTCTTATTCCTGTATGAAGCCTTAAGTGCTTGGTTAGAACCGATTTACAAGAAAACTCTTTTTGACACTCTGAACATTGATAAGGTTTCTCCCCTGTATGAATCCTCATGTGCTCCATTAGATGTGACTTTTGTGCAAAATCTTTTTGACACTCTGAACACTGATATGGTTTCTCTCCTGTATGAACTCTCATGTGCTTTGTTAGTCCTGATTTACATGATAAGTCTTTTAGACACACTGAACATTGATATAGTTTCTCTCCTGTATGAACTCTCTTGTGCTTTGTTAAATCTGAATTACATATAAAATCTTTAAAACACACTGAGCATTGAAATGGTTTCTCTCCTGTATGAATCCTCAAGTGCCTTATTAGATGTGATTTTTGTCTTAAGTCTTTCAGACATATTGAACACTGATATGGATTGTTTTCTAAATGAGTGCTCATTTTTAACATTTTGTCTTTTTTTAAGTGTATTAAAACATTCCCAGGGTATTAAAATTAATTCTGCTATAAATTCTCACAGGCTACTTGAGTTTTCAGATATTGTGGTTTTAAACTTCAACACTGATGTGGTATTTCTTTCAAATAAATTTCTGCATAATTTACTTAATTGTTTTAATATGTAAAGTTATTTTAGCATGTTATCAATGACATTTATTTTATAAGTAAAGTCTTATAGTCATAATTATTTCTGTCCTAAATAGGTTTTTGTTTGCTTTATTAATATTTGAGCAAAGGCTTAATACCCTCTATTTGTGTTATGCCTGACTACTTTGACAAGTTTTTGTACAATAATAAGGCAAATTTTGTTAAAGCTGCTGAACACTTGGAATGTGATACTGTATACCTAATATTACTTGGTGACCAGCATAGAGCAGCAGCAAGTTATGAAGTTATGGCAAGTTATGACAAGTTATGACACCTCTGTTGTCAATTGAGGCAATGAAGCTCAAAAGAGCTATTTGAAAAGATCACATTTCCTTTGGCATCAATATATAGGAAATGGATTACTTGTTAACTATCTTGAGAGATAGATATGTTAAGACATACAAGAGCATATAAACGTTTAAAAATATATAAACCAGTTAAGTCACTGACTAATATTAGACAAATATTTTTGTGATTTGTAACATTAGAGAATGTTAGACATACAATACTAGACAATAATGCTCATAAATAGTGTAAATGTATCTACACAACTACATACTCTGCCACATGTGGCTGTAGTCTCAAATTCAGGACATGAGCACAACTTTGTGAACACACTAGTCCAATATTAGGGTAAGATTATCTAAAATTTACACATGCCACCTTTTGAAAGAATTTTTAATTCTTTAATTCTTTTGAAAGGATTTTTAATTCTTTCAAAAGAAAAATATAGTAAATATTAAATATAGTTGCAGCACAAGTCAAGCACAACCGGCCATAAGTGGTTAGTCTTTTTTGAAAATGTGTTTGTGGTATTTATGTAAAGTATACATACAATGTACCATATACAAAAAAAATCTACGTGCTATATATGTATTTTTTCGTAATCCACAACACCTTTTTGTAAATAAATACAAAAAATATATATGCACATATGCACATTTTAAAAATGTCCACTTAAATTTACACTGTAAAAATAATTAATTTACATAATCTCCAAATGTTTCCTCCCAAAATAATAATATAAACATAAAACACATACACAATATATTAACAAATATGAAATCTTGAAATAAAGAAGACACCAAATTTAATGTATATACATGCACATTTATCATTTGTTACAATGGTGCTACAGTGCATGAGCTGTTGTAAATACATGTACACTTTTCATATGAAATAATGTTTATTACAATGGGTGATAAGGCTGCACAGGACATTACTTGAAAAAGTGGAGTAAACATTCATCCAAAAGGTGTTGAGGAAGAGATTGTAATAGTCAGGATTCTGAAATGTGCTCAACACACAAAGTGTTGCCACTGCATATGGAGTATTTCCGACACTATGATGTGCTTTATAACACTGCTGGTACTACCATGTATGAATTATTTCTGATACATGAGCTTCACAGCTGAGTGGACAGTGCTTCGGATTGGTAGTCCCGAGGTTCTGGGTTCGATGTCTGGTGGAGGTGGAGATAAATGGGCAAAATGTTTCTTTCACCATGATGCCCCTGTTACCTAACAGTAAACAGGTACCTGGGAGTTAGACAGCTGCTACAGGCTGCTTCCTGGGGGTGTGTACCATAAAGGAGGTCTGGTCGAGGACCGAGCTGTAGGGATGCTAAGTCCTGAAATCATCTCCAGATGACCTTCATGGCAACTGGGTGCTAGCACTGCTCGTGTAATTCTTCTGGTGATAGCATGAGCTGCAAAAGAAAAAAAGAGAGAGAAATCATCAGTGCTTGATGTCAACTATACAATATATATCTGACATCATCTAAAACAAGAATCCTAAAATACACACGTAAATTTTAAGGTAGTATATAAACACTAGACAAATTTGGGTATTCCTGAAAATAGGCACTATAGATATTATTCCTGAAAAACCATGTGAGTAAATAATTCACTCAAGTGGACATTAACCCTTTAACAGCACTACTGTAATTGTATTTATAAAATTTTTGGTTTATCTGCTTGCACGGCGCACATTGTATGTGAGGGAGTGGTCTCTCATGAATCTCCCACAGCTGACTTGAATGGCTCATTGCAGTTGCCTTTTTGAGAGTAGGTTTGCAAGAGGAAGACCGTGATTTTACAAAATTTCTCTGGATAAAGGATCCTAGCGATCCTAATAGTGAAATCATCACATAGATTCACGTCAGTCCTATTCGGAGCTACATCATCTTCATTTTTACTGCAAGCTATCTTGGATACTCATTTGAAGAAATCTGTTAATCCATACAAGACAGAAATTAGTAACAACTTATATATTGATAACTTCCAAGGAACTACTAATGATGAAACCAAATTAGTGGAAATTTATCATGAGGCTAACCACGAGTTACTGGGAGCCAATATGCCTTTACAGTCGTGGGCCTCTAATAATCAACACGATCACTACATACAAAATAGTAACAGGAATTGACAAAATCGACAGGGAAGACTTCCTGAGACCTGGAACTTCAAGAACAAGAGGTCATAGATTTAAACTAGCTAAACACAGATGCCGAAGAAATATAAGAAAATTCACCTTCGCAAATAGAGTGGTAGACGGTTGGAACAAGTTAAGTGAGAAGGTGGTGGAGGCCAAGACCGTCAGTAGTTTCAAAGCGTTATATGACAAAGAGTGCTGGGAAGACGGGACACCACGAGCGTAGCTCTCATCCTGTAACTACACTTAGGTAATTACACTTAGGTAATTACCTGAATCAAATACAGGAGCACCTCAGTTTACGAATTCAATCCGTTCCTGGAGACGGTTCATAACCCAAAAATTCATAAACCAAAGCTAATTTCCCCACAAGAAATACTGTAGACACTCGATTATCCGGGATTCGAACATCCAGAAAACACCCTTATACGGCCAAAATCGTGACCGGATAAAGTTACCTCAATATCCGGCCAAAATGTCCTTTTGAGCCAGATAAAAAATCGGAGCCTGTTAACTTGCGGCCGTTCAGCCACATGGTGTAGGAGGGGGTAGGGTAGATGGGTGGTTTCCGGAGAGAGGGGAAGCTTTGGGAGGGACCACCTGGAGGATATCGGTCAGGAAGGGAGAGAGGGAGTTGGTCAGGGAGGGAGAGGGAGGGAGTTGGTCAGGGAGGGAGTTGGTCAGGAAGGGAGGGAGGGAGGGAGTTGGTCAGGAAGGAAGGGAGGGAGGGAGGGAGGGAGGGAGGGAGGGAGGGAGGGAGTTGGTCAGGAAGGGAGGGAGGGAGGGAGGGAGTTGGTCAGGAAGGGAGGGAGAGAGGGAGTTGGTCAGGAAGGGAGGGAGAGAGGGAGTTGGTCAGGAAGGGAGGGAGAGAGGGAGTTGGTCAGGAAGGGAGGGAGTTGGTCAAGAAGGGAGGGAGGGAGTTGGTCAAGAAGGGAGGGAGGGAGTTGGTCAGGAAGAGAGGGAGTTGGTCAGGAAGAGAGGGAGTTGGTCAGGAAGGGAGGGAGGGAGTTGGTCAGGAAGGGAGGGAGGGAGTTGGTCAGGAAGAGAGGGAGTGTGGAAGGGAGGGAGTTGGTCAGGAAGGGAGAGAGGAAGTTGGTCAGAAAGGGAGGGAGGTGGTCAGGGAGGGAGGGAGGAAGTTGGTCAGGAAGGGAGGGAGGAAGTTGGTCAGGAAGGGAGGGAGGAAGTTGGTCAGGAAGGGAGTTGGTCAGGGAGGGAGGGAGGGAGTTGGTCAGGGAGGGAGGGAGGGAGTTGGTCAGGGAGGGAGGGAGGGAGTTGGTCAGGGAGGGAGGGAGGGAGTTGGTCAGGAAGGGAGGGAGTTGGTCAGGATGGGAGGGAGGGAGTTGGTCAGGATGGGAGGGAGGGAGTTGGTCAGGGAGGGAGGGAGTTGGTCAGGAAGGGAGAGAGGAAGTTGGTCAGGAAGGGAGGGAGTTGGTCAGGGAGGGAGGGAGAGAGTTGGTCAGGAAGAGAGGAAGGGAGGGAGTTGGTCAGGAAGGGAGGGAGTTGGTCAGGAAGGGAGGGAGTTGGTCAGGGAGGGAGGGATTTGGTCAGGGATGGGAGGGAGGGAGTTGGTCAGGGATGGGAGGGAGAGAGTTGGTCAGGGATGGGAGGGAGGGAGTTGGTCAGGAAGGGAGGAAGGGAGTTGGTCAGGAAGGGAGGGAGGGAGTTGGTCAGGGAGGGAGGGAGTTGGTCAGGAAGGGAGAGAGGAAGTTGGTCAGGAAGGGAGGAAGGGAGTTGGTTAGGGAGGGAGGGAGTTGGTCAGGAAGGGAGGGAGGGAGTTGGTCAGGAAGGGAGGGAGGGAGTTGGTCAGGAAGGGAGGGAGGGAGTTGGTCAGGAAGAGAGGGAGTGTGGGAGGGAGGGAGTCGGTCAGGAAGGGAGAGAGGAAGTTAATCAGGAAGGGAGTTGGTTAGGAAGGGAGGGAGTTGGTCAGGAAGGGAGGGAGTTGGTCAGGAAGGGAGGGAGTTGGTCAGGAAGGGAGGGAGGGAGAGAGTTGCTCACGGAGGAAGGAAGAACTGTTGTGTGTGTATGTGACTCGCGTTACGCCTGACGAAGGGAGGTGGCGATGGAGGTGTTGCAAGAATTATATTGTTTTCTTATTGCTGTGGAGAGCTAGTTATGAATATTATTAAATAACACACTATAATAGTTGAACAGTACAGTACAGTATTTGGTTTGCTATTTATTAATTAAAATATTTACTATAAAATAAAATGGGATTTAACAGAACTTAAGGCGCATTTGTTACCACCAAGAACTTAAAGAGGCCGCGAGTAGAGCGGGTAGGCCCAAAGCAAGGTGGACCGATGAGGAGAAACGCCTCCTGGCAATGGAAGAGGTAAGGCTGGAGGGTAGACCCCAGGCTGGCCGGGAAGGTATGAACCAGCGGCTGCAACAGCGCTTTCCTTCGCGAACTCTTGAGTCCATTAAGAGCCAAAGGAAGAGGGTCGAGTACAGAGAGTTGGTGGCGGAATACAGAAACCGAGCGGAGGGTGAGGGCTCAGAGTCATCACTGTCTAACTCAGACAGGGAGGACGAACAGCCTAGCCCGTTGAGGAACCGTGGACGGAGAGGCAACGTTAGGGCGGCGGTGGGCGCCCCCGATGGAGCCGATCCTGACATGCCCCCCCCTGACGGGACCCCCCAGGAAGCTGCCTGGAAGGAAACTATGGTCGAATTCCTTGCAGCTATTGCACCCAGGGGCCAGGAAACCGGATGGGGGGAGAAACTCCTCGACGAGGCAATCACTGACCTAGTCAGTGGTAACGGCCATAACGTGGATAGGATCCTCGAGCGCCATGCTCGGGTGGTTACTACAGCCAAAAGATCTGGTGACCACGCACTGCGCCCCCGCCCTGCGCGTCGGCAGACCCCCCCCCAATAAACCGTGCCGATCCAACCCAACCTCCGATTGGACGTAAGAGGGAACGAAGGGCACAGTATGTTCTGTGCCAGAGCCTGTACGAGAAGGATCGTTCAAAAGCTGCTGCGCGCGTCCTTTCCGGAGACTGGAAGGTTACCCCCACAGGGTAACCTTCCACCTAATGGCTGGTTCCACGGAGGTGGAACCAGCCTGTCTCTTTCCATTCTGGGAAGCACTATTCTCTAGACCCACATCGCCGGACCGCCGCCCAATTCGCGACCGTGATCCAGTTAATCAGCAACTAGGGAACCCAATAACACCAGAGGAAATCCTTGTTGCTCTCAAGGCAAGTAGCAGTGCTGCTCCTGGCCCAGACGGTATCACTATACGTTTACTTAAAGCTATACCAATCAGAGTGTTTGCAAAACTGTTTAATCTGTGGTTGGTAAACGAATCCCTGCCACATCCGTTTCGCAAGAACAAAACGGTGCTTATACCTAAGAAACCTAACCCAGACTCTCCTTCCCATTATCGCCCCATAACGATGTCATCAACGATAGTAAGGCTGTTCCATAAGATTCTGAGCAGCAGACTCTCTGAGGCAGTCAGGATCGACACGCGGCAGAAGGCATTCGTCCCCGTTGACGGATGCCCTGAAAACCTGGTGATCCTGGATGCCCTCCTTGCTGAGGCTCGTGCGCTTAAACACAACACGCACCTGGCGTTTCTGGATATGGAGAAGGCTTTCGATAGCGTCTCCCATCCGGCCATCCACCTGGCCATGAAACGTAAAGGCATTCCGAAGCCTTTAAGGACATATATAATGTCGGGCTATGACAGGTCCTCAACCATAATAACAAGCCAAGGTGAGAAGTCGAAGGACATCCTGATCACTAGGGGGGTGAAACAGGGTGACCCCCTGTCTCCATTTCTCTTCAACCTAATAATTGATGAGGCAATTACTAGGGCTAAAGACTTGGGGCTAGGGGTTGGTCTGGGCGGCGAAAAGGTATCAGCGCTGGCGTTCGCCGACGACCTGGTTGTGGCAGCGGAAACGGCTGCCGGACTACAGACACTCATAACCAGTATTTGCCGCACGCTGCGCGGCTCTGGTCTCAAAGTAAACGCCGCAAAATGCCGGACGCTGAGCATAGCGATCGATGCGCATCGAAAGACATGGCATGTCCCCACCAGGAAGGCATATTACGTCGGAGACGATGCGCATCGAAAGACATGGCATGTCCCCACCAGGAAGGCATATTACGTCGGAGACGATGCGATCGGTACTATGAGCGTGGCGGACGAGTACAAGTACTTAGGGATACTGATCGGAGCCGGGGGCAGACGCTTATCCTATGGTTCCCTGTTTGAGGACGGCCTGACCAATATCACCAAGGCGCCGCTCAAACCCCAACAGA